CCTCCTCGGCGGCCTGGGCGGAGGGCGGAGGCCGCTGGCCGCGGCCGCGGCCGCCTGTCCCGGTCCCGCTCGCTTCCCCCCTCCGCGAGAGGCAAACGCTTCTCCGGCTGGATTCTGCGGGTCGGTTTTAGTGCGTGAAGATGGAGGAGGCTGAAGTTCCGTACGTTTCTTGCACGACTCTACAGGGTCGCTTGTGGCCTTTCACCGTGAGAGCCCCGGGGGCGGGGAGGGTGTGCCCGGGGCGGCGCGACTGCGACTGCGGCGGCTGCTGGGGGGAGGCCGGGCCGCACTCGCCTGTCAGCGGGGCGGCCTTCGCCGCCTGAACGCTCTTAACGCTGCCGTTTCAGGCAGTGAACTACCTAGGCTTATTCTTGCCTCTTTTTAACCCCTCCACAGACAGCTGCATGCTGCTGCCTGGCACGCAGCTGGTTCGCCGGCCTCTCCGCTGCATCCGTGCTTTGGGGCACCTGCCCTCACGCTCCCTCATGAATCTCGGGGAGCTCGTTTCTGCCCTGAATGACTTTGCATCCCTCTCGCTGGCCGAAAGCTGGGACAATGTGGGGTTGCTGGTGGAACCAAGTCCTCCCCACACTGTGAACACCCTTTTCCTCACGAATGATCTCACTGAGGAGGTGATGGAAGAGGCAGTGCAGAAGAAGGCAGACCTTATTCTTTCTTACCACCCTCCTATATTCACACCACTCAAGCGAGTAACGTGGAAGACCTGGAAGGAACGGCTGGTCATCCGAGCCCTGGAGCACAGAATTGGGATTTACTCTCCGCATACAGCGTATGATGCTATACCTCACGGAGTCAATAACTGGCTAACAAAGGGACTCGGTAAGATTCTGTTAAACAAGCAAAAAAAAAAAAGGTTAAAATTATTCATCAGTATATGCTATTTTATGTGGGGGACCTTCCCTCATTTTCCTTTCTTCCAGGTTTCACAGGTATGATTTGAGGACTTTTTTTTTTTTTCTTCCCCCCCAATATTTTTCTAGTAGTTCTAAGTACCCTAAAAATATTTTACGGAATTTATCTTGGTGAGGAATACCAGATCCAAACACTAGAGGACACGTTCAGATGCCTGACTCTGCTATTGGATGTAGTTGGAACTGGTGCAGCATATTTATTGTCCATCTTGGCTGCAAAGTTTAGAGCACTGACTTTAAATCACCACCTTTAATTTATAAAGAGCAAGATCTCATTGTTTGCAAAGGAAAAATTCTTCTAGATTTTTATCCTGTATTGTGGCTCATAAATGAAATCAGCTATGTCTTTTCCAGCCTGATTTACAAACCAGAAACTATTTTGGTTTCGTGCAATTCTTAGGATAAAACAGATGACATTAAAAATGACAAATAATATATATCCATCAACTTTTTCGCATTTAAAATAGACTGTGCCTAATGGAGACAGCAGGGCAAGAAGTCCTCAGTTCTGATCAGGGAAAATGGATTCAAGTGCAAAATCTGCATCATCTCTTTAGGATGTGTGCTAAATCAGTATTAGGATACTTATCCAGCTTTATAAAACAGCAATCTTATACTGTTTTCTCAGGTGCTTGTACTTTCATCCCACTGCATCCATCAACTGCACCAAGCTATCCAGCTGAGGGCAATCACCGGGTAGAATTCTGCGCAGACAACACTGAGCATCTGGACACGGTGCTGTCCAAAATCAAAGGCATCCAAGGTATCTCCTGTCTCACTACTCTCCCTGCCAGGTATCTGCTTCACTCTCTAATGTATTCTTTCTGTTGTTTGAAATAATAAGTTGCTGGAATTGTATTTTACTGTCGTAATCAGTTTGTTCCTCTTTGCATTGCTGCTACTTTTTTCAGCAACAGATCTAGAAACTTAAGGAATAATCATCCCTTTCTGATCAATCTATGTTATAGTAAATGGTAACAGCAACTCAGTGTAGCATCACGTAGATTAGAAGTGGTAAAGAAAAATATTAACAGGAAATTTGATGAGGACAGTTGAGTTCAATTCCCGTATCTGTTTCTTCCAAGAGAGTAGACTAGACTAGGCTAGGCTATTAAAATGCTTCTTTTTTCCTTTCTCTGTGGTAGAATAGCCACTGGGCTAGAATAGCTTTGTTTTATATTAATATGATGCTGAAATTTTATCTAGTTTCTTAGCAAGCACCAAGTGTATCTTTCCTCAGGGTTGAAGGTGAGGAGCAAACACGAGTCACTTTGAGCTGCTCTCAGAAAGCACTGTTGGAGGTGGTGGCATTATTGTCCCAGCACAGCCTTTATCACAAGACTGAGATTCTCTTATTACAAAAGGTAACAAAATCACTTATTACTTCCAATGAATGTATTACTTGTGTGAGCTGAGTCCCCTAAACACTGAAATTCAGTAGTCGGTAGCATCACAGGTTTCCTATGCTGCCCTGTCAGTGCTCTGAAATACTGGCCTGTGGAGACTTGAAGCCACACACATTTTCCAAAACAATGAAAATAGCTGTGTGGCCTGTACTAATTCTGAAATCAGTTCCAATAGCTAGTGTAGTTAGTACGTTACATTCAAGAACATCACAAGCATTTTCATAAAGTTCAGAGGCATTCCTGAATGCCCAATATACTCATCTTTGTACAGTATGGAAAGCAATGAGAACTTCTGGAGTCAGCTTTCTCACAGTAACTTTAATTTCTTTTCAGCCGCTTCTTCCTCATACTGGAATGGGACGTCTGTGCACACTGAGCGAGCCAGTCTCCTTGTCAGACATAATTAAGCGTATCAAAAGCCACCTAAAATTACCCCACATCCGCTTAGCTGTGGGAATGGGCAAGACACTAGGTAAACAGGCCTGCAAGTAAGACTGTCCATTGGAACTAGGATTCCAGGAAGACAAAGAGCGTGAGTGTGTGCATGAGTGTGTGAAATACTGCTGCCTTGGATAGGTTTACTTCCAGGTAGTATGAAGCACTTGTTAAGAAACAGCATTTTAGAATTTACATGATACAATCACACAAAAAGAATCTCATCTGTATTTTTAATTAGAAATTCTAGATTATGCTGGTTGTCACTGTGAAGAAGGGACAGCACAAGTTGAATATGAGACATCCTTTTTCATAACTTGTATAATGACTTAAGATTTTTTTGTTTCTCCCCCCGCAGGATATCAGACACAAATGTGTACCATTTCATTGTACACTCCCTTTTGTGACCAAATGTGAAATTTAAAAGCACCTTAAAATAGTAAGATGCTTTATGGTATCCTTATGAACATGTAACCATCCATGTTTTGATGAAATAGTGGCAAAGAAGGTGAGCTATCCTAGCTCAAACAGTGGGTCACTAGTAGAACATGGAGCAAGCATCCTCTTATCCCAGTTACCTTTACTAATCTCCAAGGAACACAGCTGTTAGAATTTGTGAGAGCAAATTTGTGGAGAACTCTTTGTAACTTATGAGACAGAAGTCTTATTAGAAGCCTCTTATACTACCAATTGCACTAAAAAAACTCCAAACTACAATTTGAAAACTCTCTGTGTCATGTGTTCCCTCTCCCTAGTGAATGTAATATATATGGAGAATTAAATTTCCTGTCACTATCACATATGTAATAGTTCGGAATCAGCAATCATAGCAAGTGGGCAGATTTTTAATGGCATGGAGCAGGTCTCAGCTTGCACTGAGATTGGCCTTCTGAGAGCTTTAAGTTAGGAACCAGTATATCTCAGAGGCAAAATGCTGCCTTAGTTGCATCATTAGTTGGAAAACTAATGGTGGTGGAACTTGAGAGTCCTGGAAAGAGTAGCAGCCTATTAAAAGGTTCAGAAACGTAGCTAAGTAACACCTTACTAGGAGAGAACTAGCCAGCAGCCAGCCTCTGTGCTGTAGCTTTCTGCAAACTTTCCTACCCCTTGAAGAAAAAGATCTACACATCTATTTGGTACACAGAGAATTTTGCTGTATTATCAGAGATGTTATAGGCCCATGACTCTTTCAAACTGACAGATGTGTCTCTTCCTCCAACAAATTTACATTGACCCATTGATCAAGGTAGTAGTTACTGTGAAACAATTAATAGCAATACTGACATGGGGGCTGAACAGAGGGAAAGGAGTTTTACTGTGGCACCTTGTATCCTGCAGAATCGCCAGTGAAGAAAGCTGCTCTATGTGCTGGTTCGGGGAGCAGCATCCTGAAGGGAATGGAAGCTGACCTCTATCTCACAGGTAAAAGATTATGTTGCTGTTTCGTTATCTTTATAAAAATAGTCACTAGGAAAAAAAAAAAAGAAAAGAAAAAAAAAAGAAAAGAGAGTTGACTGGCTGTTGAAGGATTTGGCCAGAAAGAATTACCTGTTATAACTGAGAAACAATCAGTTAGTTATTGGAATGATAGAAGGATAATATTAAAGTAGAGATAACATGGGTCAGATGGCTGTGTGGCACAGTGAAGGTTACTTGAATTAAAACATTGCTATGCGTGCATTATTTCACCACAAAAATCAGTGTTGATTATCACAACTTTCAGTGTGTTTCTCTTTTGGCAAGATACAAGGTATTTCTTCAGTTCCCTACAGAATTCCCTAATGGAAGATGGAATATAATGTAGTCTACAGAATCTTCCAAAGGAACCCCATAGTGTATCTGACCAAAGGGACACTTAGTCCATTATCCTCTTTTCTGACAGCAGGACAGCTACTCTCCACAGTTCGCTCAACAATGTGAAGGCTGCCTTGCATTCTGTAGTAACTTAATTCAAGCAAGTTCTTTGGCAAGGCATGTCCCATCTCCCCCTTACATACAGCCTTGCAGAGCTGACCCTCAGAAAACTTCCTTCGCAAGGCTTCCCAATTGCTATCTTCCATCACAGCAACCCACATGACATCCAGACAGTCCACTTCCAAACCACTCTGTGCACTCGTATTTCCTGCCCAAAGTGACAGAATCTACCACTATTCAAAGAGGGCAGGGAATTTCTGTGGTTTTGTCTCAGTGGTATTATGGGGGATATCAGCTGAAGGTCCTTCAAGGGACACTAGGGTATGAGTGTTCCATGTTCTTATACTGAGCAGATGGTGTTGCACTCCCCCTTATGGGCTATATCCCCTGTTAATGTCTTCCCAGCTTCTAGCTAAGATTCTGCATACATTGCAAAGAACTGGTTACCTAAACTGTACTGTTCGTGATCTACATGGCATTTCTTTCTCAAAATGGCAGGAGAGATGTCCCACCATGATGTTCTGGATGCAGTTGCCAATGGGATAAGTGTTATTCTGTGTGAGCACAGTAACACTGAGCGAGGCTTCTTGTCAGAGCTGCGTGACATGCTAGCTGTCCACCTACAGAACAAAATCAACATAATTGTGTCTGAGAAAGATAGAGATCCCCTCCAGGTGGCATAGGGAAAGAAAAAAAACAGGAGTGAGAGTTCATTCAAGAGTTTCATGGTATCTTGCACAGACCAATCCAATTGCAAGCTTAATGAAGATGCTCTGAATTGGTTCAGTACAAAATTATTGTATTCTATGTTTCCTCAAAGTTTGGGATATATTTTGTCATCTGTCAGATAAATAAATGCTTGTTTGGGGCTACAGAAGGCTGATTTACTCAATTACTGGGCTGCACTTGAATTAATTTACTGTTACTGCATGCTCTTACTAGGTATATTTGATAACCATGATACTCAAGGATTGGTTTGGGTAAAATCCAGTTTTAAGCTTACACAGCAGTTCTACCCTACTACAGTTACATCGAATCATGTCAGTACAAGTCACTGATATTTTAACTAATAAATCTCATGATAATAGTTAATGAAAGGGTATGGATCACCCATTTGCATTAAGAGTTTTACTAAGACATCGCTCATACACAAATATAGAACACAATTCAGGTATTTGGTACTAGCATTCAACTGCACAACCTACCATTAATGCAGCTTTAAGGCTTTTTAGTAGAGGGACTCTCAATTAAAAAAGCTTTGGAAGGTGAAAAGTCAATTCCTTAACAAAACTGTAAATTAATTTAAGGTGCCGTTGTTACTTTCTTTTAAAAACAGTTTCTATAACTATGGCTCTTAATTACAGGATTACTAAAACTGAACAAGTAGCATTTTTACCTCTGATAATGCTAGGTTTTTATTTAAGTTTTTTTTGTTGTGTCTGTTTTCAAAGAAAAAAAAATCTCCCAGTTGCATACCTTACCATCTCTGGATTAAGTGCACACCAGAAGAATATTTAAACAAAATGAAAATATTTCCATTGCAAATTTGTAAAGATCTTGGCACCATCCTTTTAAGCTTAAGTTAATAAAACTGGCTTATCAAGCAGTGTCTTTACTGTGTAATTGCGTACGTCTTGTTCCACTTACTTAAATGTAAGTGGAAAGAGATGACTCCAGCATTATCTGAAGCTACTGAGGCTATATAAAGGCCATAGTTCTTACGAATACCATGAAGACCTCTCAGTAAGCTGGGGAACAGGAAGTGGGAAGAAATTTCTTCTTTCCCAAAAGTAAAGGACAGGACTGTAGAAGTGATCCCTACAAATCCAACAGTTCTATATTGCTACAGAAGACATTAAAATGCTACTACCTTAGTACATACACAGAATTCAAGAGACAGAAAATTAATCCATAGATGAGGTAATTGTCCAGAAACAGCATGACATCAGGATAAAATACTTTTAACACAAAACCCACAGGAATTAATTCACAGTAATTTTCTTTAGCTTGCATGCTTGCATCACAGAATGAGCAGCAGCCAAAAGACTGATTCAAACTTAACCTTCTCGTAGCAGATGTGTGTTATCTCCTGCAGTCCTCCTCTTGGGCTGTATGGGCATCTGGTAGTCTACCAAAACAGTGGATAACTCTGAACTCAGAATGATTATAGCACTTCATTGAAGTAAATTTCACATCTAGAAAACTAGATGCAGTTGCACTGAAAATGCACTATGGTATCACTATCTGTAAACACATTAGGTGGTATCTTCCATATATACTCAGAATATAAATTAAATCTTGAATTTCATACTAACTGTGGACAGAGTTAAAGGACTGCAAAATAGGATGTGGTTACTGCTTAGCTACAGTACTTTCCAAGTTTTTCCAAGAACACATCTCTTCAAGTGGCAGAGTTCTTGTTCTTGAATGCTATACCTGACTTAAAGAACTTGGGTAAGACACAATGGCCTGATCCCAGTTTTAGTGATTCTGACTGTAGCCTAAGTAGTGATAGGCAGGATCTGATGCATTTTGCAAAGTTTTGGAATTGTAGCCTGTAAAATGCAGAAGCATGTACCACTGAAAGAAAATGTTAGTGGGAAAATGTTCTGGGGGGGGAAGCTGGAGAGTACTGCTGGCATGTACCACTTTTCCCCATTAGAGTCTCCAGCAAAGCTAATTAGGTCCTATATTTGAAGAATCAGATTGTCAGTGGGATAAGTAGATACCCCATGTTTTCAATACAAACAGAAGTCAGGCTCTAAACGTCTGTCTGTTGCTTCTGTCAGTGAGGGGTAGACCAGGTAACAATACTATTCCATGTGATGTTTTGGTTCTCTTCAAAAGCTATATACTGGTATTTAAAGGCAGGCAAACTATTTTTAATGCTGATACCTTATAAGAAACAATAGAAAATATTTTTACTTAGTAGTTTGAAATCTTCTGCACATTGCATGAGGATTTGCACAGATATTCCACATAATAATCAAAACGAGACTTTCACACAACTGCCAGAAGGATCTCTATCTTTCTATAACATAAAAAGTTGGTGGAAGACAAGACAAGCTAATGAAAATTAATGAAGTACTTTATTTGATTGATTTGCACTATTACAACATTAAGCTGTAACACAGCTACCAAATATTAGACATACAGAGTCCCTGAAGTCTGGCTGGCAGACTACAGTTGATGAACTATAGGGCTTACTCCCACATACCTGAGAAAAAAAGTGAAGAAAAGCTGTCAAACTTTAGCAGTCTCCCAACCTCTAAGGGCTTAAAAAAAAGGAGAGCTTATAAGTGGCATTTAAGGCCTCCTCCAGGATCAGTGGACGCTCCTGATGTAAAAAATACATACATACATACAATCAAGCTTTTAAAAAATAAAAAAAATTCACAGCCTCTTCATATTCCTGGATTGCAACTTAGAAAATACATGAAAGATGCTGGATCCTCTCACCCTCGCCACAGGCAATGACTTGAGTCCATCACAGTTTTGATTATCTATCTCAATCTACCTACTTACAAAAGGATTTGGGGCAAGTCCTTCAGTTCTATTGCCAGAATTTAATAAGTTACCCACGGTGTCCCAAACCCACTAGTATCCTCCTTTCCTCATGCAGTCAAGGCAGGTCTCTTAGCTTTATAAACCTTGGCTTCTTCATACACTGGAAGGTAGTCTTGTCTAACTGGTAAAGGAGTATTGGAAAGCACTCAGGTGAGAAAAGGTGCACCACTAGTACAAACTAAAGTTCTGACCATCTAGTGATTTGCACTTTCCAAGTAAACTGCTCCAATCAAACCCTCATGTCCGGTGAGGTAGAGAGCAGAAGGCACAATCTTACCGAGTTTGTTCTTCTGGCTGTAAGGTTGGCTGCATAGATGTGAAGAAGGCATTATCTGAGCTAAGAGACAAAGCAGACAAATCTAACTACAGAGCAAGAGATGCCTTGCTTACAGAAGTCATCATTCCAAACTACCTGAAGTAGTTGAACAACGAGCATTGTTCCTTGCAATTATTACATTTCAGTAAGTAGTCCAGCAGCCTTTGGGTTGGAGGGAGAGAGATGTGAGTATAGGCCCCTCCCCAGCAGCCCTTGAGAGCAATTGCCGCACACGCTTTGAGAACAAAGAGACGTTACACATCTTCATCCTCTTTCTCTAAGAAGTCGGTCAAGGTACTGTCATCTACAGGAATTAATAAGTATTCCACACCATCAGCTCCCTGAGAACAGACATGCATATACATCGTGTTAACACCAATGCACAGTGCAATGCAAGCTACTAGAGAGCACTGCAATGCTAACATTTATTTGCAGTCTGGATGCGAGCTGGCCAGTATTCAGAAGGACTATGTTGCTGAAAACCAGGAATGTTTAACTACAGCAACACTGGAAATGCAGAAATACTGAGAAAAGTCATTTGTAAATGAGAACTCTGCTGGTGGGCTATGCTAGTGTGACACTACACAACTCCTCAACACCGCGTTCCCATATCTAGTACTGCTATACCGCCTCATTATTAGGACCAGCCTGCATTCTTCCCTGGTACAAATACAGGTAACTATTGGAAGCAGACTGGCAGGCTCCAGAGTACGTTACTTCTCAAGGTCTTCAGGAAGAAGAGACCTGTAGGTTGCTGAGTAACCAAACCACACTGCATTTTTACAGCCCCCTATCCATGTAAAGGGTGCTGACAAATTGGAGGCATGGAAAGAGCTGCAATTACAGAATTTCAGCCCTTTGCTAGTTCCTAGGTGCTTCAAACAACACAGCCTCACTGTGAGCTGCAGAGTGGTGTCTTAGGGATACTTAGTAGCAAGTAAGCATCTTTTTTGTTTAAGGTGGCGGATAAACAGAATTATCTTCTTTCCCCAACTCACCCGCTTGGTCCGGATGAGTTTGTGGTCCCTGAATTCTGTCAGCTGTGCCCTGAGTGTCAGGTCACTGTTCACAAGGAAAGCCTCCCGACACTGCTGGTAAAAGTCTTGGAAAGACAGCCCTGGAGATAGAAAAAGTTGAGAACAAGAAATTGAAGTGGTAAAAGATTGTCAGATTTTTCCAGGTCTAACAACATATTATCTCCACCTACAGATCTTGCTTTGGCTTAGACCACAGTGGCTACATTAACATCACTTCTTTCAAGTACACAGCCAAGCTAATATTTCAGTAATTAATAGAAAACAGCTGAATTAACGTTCTAGTCACCCTGTTTGCCTACTGGGATTTCAATAGCGCTTTAAATGCACTTCTCAACACGGTTACTCTCTCTTAATTTCCAGCTCCTCCATCTTACTTCCAACTTTCTTTACCATTAACATGTTATTCATATCCCCTGCAGCACCTGTTAGACAGTGAAGGAACATTTGACATGTATCCTAGAAAGCAGGGACACATCAGAAGTCACTTAGATAGGAGCAGCATGGGAACAGAATCTCCTGTCTTTCCCTGGTCCTTTAAGTGCTAGTTATGCAAATTCATATTCTTCCTTTAATTTTTTAACTCCACATGAATGGTCTCAGTCATGTCTAAACATCAAAGTAGACGACAGTAAGAGGAGGTCCTTCAGAACCAGCTAGTCTATTGATTTCCTGTCAGAGTCAGACACAGTACCACTAGAAAGACAGTCTGTGCCACTGAGCCTCACTGAGCCAATGGTTACAGCGCTTCTGTTGCTGGTGATGTCACCTGCATACCAAAAGCCAGTGCCGCTGTGACGGAGCTGGAAATGGCAACACCCCAAACAGATGAGAAAAGATGGGTACATACCTGGATAAGATGGGTTGTCCTTGTTCTCCAGCTGGTACTGAGCAAGCAGTCTGAATATCCCTCTAAATGAAAGGAGGAGAGGGGAAAATCAAAAGGAAAAAAAACCAAAAAACAAACCAAACCCCCCAAACCCCCACCATTAGAAAACGTTAACTGATTTTTTCCTCATGACCAGGACTTTGTGCATGAATCTTGTCACTGGACAAGGCTTGCTATCCAAACACTGTTCATTTAAAGTAACCAGTCAATTGGAACCCAGGTCCTACCATCTTCATCTTGAACATTGTTGTCAGAAAACAGGGATTGCCTCCTGCTAGGTGTAGACCAGAGTAACATTAGTAAGGACTGGATCCTCAGCAAGTGCTACTGTGAAGTATAACAGTGTCTTACCTGGCATTGAGAGTGAGACTGCGCAGGACATGTGTTAGGGAGCTCAAAGCCAAAGATCCCGACTGTTGTACTAAAAACGAGTTCTCGTAAGACGTTTCTTCCACATAAGGACTAAATGTGGTTGTTTCATACCAAAGCCAGTTGTAGAGGCTTAGCTTTGCCTGATCCCACACTAGATAGAGAGAAAAGAAAGAGCAGACAGAATTGGGAGATTTAGCTTTTCTAAGGTGTTAAATAAGCAATATTAAAAAGTACTTAGTTCTACTGTAGGATTTGAGGAAACAACGTCTGCTTCTGAAATTCACAGTACATGCACCCAGATACTTGCAGTTCAAACAAGACAAATTCTCTGCAACAAAGCATTTGCACACATCCCTTTTTCATACCAGCTCCACAGATACACTGTAAATCCTTCCAGTCAGCAGTGTGCAAAGAATTTCTGGCTGATATAGATGCAATGACATACATAACATCCAGTCTCCATTTCAGTAACTCCCTAAATCAAAGGGTGCCAGAAGCCTGAAGTCTATTTGTATATTATGATCAATGACTGGTAGTTTTCAGTATCTTTATACAGTTTTGGTTCAACACAGCCACAGTCCCAACTGGGGCTTCTAGCTGCTACCACCATACATACATCACCAGACCTATTTTGCACATCAACAGTAATACATGATCTTATGAAACATGCTCAGCAGCCCCACAGTAGAACACAGATTCTTCTCTCTTTGCTACATCAGGCCCAAGGGGACTCACTGAGAGGAGCATTGATGTGATCGATAGAGGCAATGAGGTAAATGCTAGGCAGAGAGGATAACTGTGCAAGGATCCGCTGACTTCTTTCTCCTCTCAACATCTGGCTGTCCAGGTTATGAATGAGGACATAGAGCTGTAAAGATGAATCTGCAAGGTCAGAAAAAACAGCAGAGAACCAATCAAAGAAACTGCACACAAAGTGGTTTCCCATTCCCAGTGCTGCCTAGGACAAGTCTATTCCATCAGGCTCCATATTCATCACTCCAATATCAAATAATTTTTCTTGTACAGCTTACTTAGATCTCTACCCCACACTTTGTGTTTCTGAGCACCTAGAAGGCTTTTTCTCAATTCACTGTATCACAGTTCTCATCACAGCTACAGTTCTTTTTGCAGTTTAAGCTTTTCTCTTATAATGTACTTCCCACTTGCTCGTGGCTTTACCAGGAATTGCCCTTTTAGCTATGACTTTTAGTCCTGCAATTCAAGACCATTCAAATATATTTTAGGATGGAAGTCCAAGCACAGTTTGTTCAGCTGCTTTTGAGTTACATGACTAGGATCCTTAAGCTCCTCCTCACACAATGAAAATGCATTTTCTATTCACGGTTGGATCCAAAGCATACTAACTTCATTGGAAATCCTTCCCACCAAGTCCTCAAAAAAATTACAAAGACTTAGCTTGGATAATGCAAATGGTAGATGTTAAAATTTCCAGCTAGCTTGTGCTGCTATACCTATCCTGGGAACAGTTATTTCCTGAGTACAGAAACAATTCTGGAACAGTAGCCAGTTTTTGTGCAAATGAATATACATTTGGCTGACAATGGAAACCAAATGTTCCTCAGACTCCCAGTCACATCAGCTATGGTGTATTACACAAGACTGATTTATGTAGATTCAGGTGGGTACTGCCGTTAATCAGTCTTCTTCATTTAGTCCCACCAGAAATACTCATAAGGTAATGATGGAAAACAGAATGTAAACACTTAAAACATCAACGCCATGCACAATTAAGATTCCATGGCAATTTGTGCATGTATACACAAGCAGTAAAACAGACATTCAAAAATAATTCAGCAAGCATTCCATGTGGCAATACCTGTTTACTTTTGCTTTTGAACCCAATTCTAACCTGCTTGTTTGACACTGCTGTCCTTTATTTCATCTTAATGTCAGTATTTGTATATATTAAATTTAAATTACCATTCCACTAAACCATGTACATTTAAGCCTTAATCCAGCCTATACTGAAATTTATGGAAAGATCCTCAGGCCATGATTTTCCAGAGGAGCTCAAAGGACTTGATATCTGTCAGCAACTGTCATTCCAAATTTTTTGGGAGTTCTTCGTTCTGTTGATTTCAGTGAGGTTTATATCAGGTCCTCAAGCAGCCACTATGAACCATCTTCCCTCATGTAGCTGGCATTTACCTACCCTATCTTCAAACAGGAAGTGTATGGCTACAGAAACACCATGTAAATAAAGCACAAAGACACTGTGCTAAGTGCAAGAGAGATGAGCATTTCAGTTTGCCAAAGGGTTGAGGAGCCTCTGTCTTGTTAGAACACTTGTGCTTTCCTCCTTCCCTTTCTAAAGAACTTAGTGTGTGAACCACTGACTGAGGTAACAGCTTGGGATCATGTACACGTGTATTCCTGGTGCATATGTTTTCATATATGTGGCATAAATTACAAGCAAGAAAGTATATTAGCTACCATACACTAAGAAACTATAACTGCACATATGAAAACTCTGAGGAAAGAAAATGTCCAGGCTCTCCTAACAGTTAAGTGGACTCTAATGTTTTTATGTATAAAGTTAGTCATTTTACCTTCTTTAAACCTTTTAATGATGAATTCAAGTTGGTCAAGTGGGCTGCGGAAGGTTCCTATATGATTCAGTACCTCCTCTGTGATGGAGTTGAGAATCTGAAAAAGAGAATAGCAGTCCCTTCTGAAGGGCTCTGGCACTGAAGGACCTAGTGCAGAAAATCTGAAACTGAGCCCTTGACTGTCTTGAGGGAGGTAATCTGATTTTTACCATCAGATCCCCAAAACAGTCAACATAAACCAAAAATTTCTACCCCTTTTTAAAACAGTGATATAAAATAAGTCTTTAGACTGATGAGTATTAGTGATGGAAATTACTGCAATTCCTTGGGAAATGCACAGGCTAATTTCTTTAAACTCTTAAAAGAGAGATAGGAACTGCTCTTCATTCAGGAATCTGTTGCTACAGGATGCAGCAGGTTTCCTTAACATTTTACACTGAAAGACTTTAGAGGTACCTGTAACACAGGATGACTAGATAATCCCGTAAGCTTTTCCCACACTTACAGATCTCACAGTGATGCTGGGGAAGTATCCATTAACCACAAGGTGAACAGAATCCTTGAGCACAGACGTACGAAACTTCTCTAACAAATCACGCTTTGAGCCCAGACCATAAAGCACAATATTGAAACCCAAGCTGCAGAAAAGTGAGCAAATACACTGAATCAAAAAAGTAAAAGTCTCTTTTTAGGTTCATACATTCATTAAGAAAAATGATCCATAGCAATCTTGGCTCTAAAAATTTCATGTTTCAACTCCAGGCTTACCTTTAGCTCACAGCTGACAAATAAGGTTAGCCGCAAGGAATCTGAAAAGTGGCACGTGCATCCTAGTAAAAGAAGCATTTTAGCAGCCTGGAGGCCCAAAAATTTAGCAAAACATCTATGGAAGAAAGTGGTATTGTCCAAGAACACAAGACTAGATCTTCAGATAACAAAGCGTAACCAGCAGTCACATTTACTCCCTCATCAGTGATTATATTAAATGTTTACCATGGGTCACAGCAATTACAAGAAAAAAAGCAAGCCTTCATAGTGGTTTTCTACTCTGATCCACAGGCACAATTTCAAAGCAAAAATAAACTATTCTCGTATCTCTTTCTTATCCTAATTGTTCCACAGAGAAAGAGGCAGGAAAGCATAAAGAGAACATGGTAGGGAATCACAAAGCTTTGTTTATTTTTGAGAAGCAGGAAAAGCATCATCTTGACCAGAAAGAAGAGTATCGGGTCACTCAAACAGTATTGGGCAAAGGTAAGGTGTTCAACTGTCATTGACTTCAGCATCATCTATGGATTTGTTCCTTCTACCCTGCCACACATATCTCTAACCATCTGCCCAGATCACTAAGTCACAGAGAACTCCTCCTCTTGCAACTCTCACTCCCCACAGACCACAGATTTCTTTATAATCCACTCCCTTGCAAAGCTTCCAAGAGGCTTTCTCCTCACCAACATCTGCTCCTGCCCCAGCACTTAACTTCAGAGCTGGTGGCCTGCCTTCTCTAAGGCATTTCAGAATCTCACAGCTCTCTATAGTTCCCCATTTGCTTTCCTGGATGCTTACTCTTTTCTCCTTCCCATGAAGATACGCACAAACCCAGATAAAATTTATACTGCTAATGTTTACAACAGCATTAAGATTTCTTCATGCCTAGATCATTAAGTACCATAGGCATTCAACGTTAATTGCTACACCACTGGGGACAGCCACATACTGAAGAAATTGGTGGTGGGCTACCCACTACCAACTACGCAGCTGTAAGCAAACATGATTGTTCAAAAGGGACACTTTTCTCATCATTTATGTTCCCTGTTTCCTCATTATTCATGCTCCCTGTTTGTGAATGCCCTCTAGCTTGGTTTACAGAAGCACAAACAAACTAGCCAGGCAGAATGCAACCTCACTTCGCTTCAGGCATTCAGTTCAAGGGGTCAGTCAGATATGATTTGGTCTACAGTAAACATTGTACTAGTGTCACCTAATTTTAAATTTAAGCAATCAAAGAAAAAAAAGTTGCTCCTTAAGTCATCCACAGGATGTTGTTGACATGAGGGTAAGTTTACTGGCAGTGCCTGTTTACTAGGCTTCTCCAGTGACTCTCATTGGATACTTACTGTAATTGCAGCATCCACTTGGAAAACAGGGATTCGTGTTGCTGGTTTAGCTCTTTAATTTCAGCAGCATAGGCAAGGGGAGCTTTTTTTAAAAGGTCATGCAGTGTTTGCTGTGTTGAGAAAGAGATAAAACAACAGTCATTCAAAGCTGAGAAAAACCAAGACGTATATCTGAAGTCCTTCCAAATACCCCTCTAGCATGGTCTCTAGCTAGGGAGCAGAATAGTTTTCACTGATGGTGCACTCAATTTCTGGGTTTTTTTCCCCATGGAGACCCCTCTAAGCACAGTTTTGCTACTGGAGAAACAAAGCAGAGGTTAAGTAACCTTATTAAGAGAAATGGCCAGACTAGGACTAAAACCAATATCACACTGTGTTTTATCTCTTCCTGCTGAGTATGGGAAAACCACTACTGAAATAATGGACACACTCAGAGCTTACACAGCACCAAGCACTGTACCAGGAAGATACCAACATCACAACCCTGCATGCAGGAGCAAGGGCTCCAACTGACATGCTTAGCAATGGCTCAGGTGTTTGTCACTACAAGAGAATGCTCACAAACATCATCTTAAAAGAGAAGTACAGCAGAAAGGAAATTATTTGCAGCTGACAGCTAAATGTAGAAAAAATATTATTTCAAAAGCATCAAGAATCAAAGTATTCATTCAGCTTTAAAGATACGCTGGGATGTTGATGTTTAAACAGCACAGTAGCATGAAAAATGGCATCAAATCTACACTGGCCTCCCTTTCTCTTCAATTTTAACAGCTTTGCTTTCCACTCCCTTGCAGTAGAAGACAGTTTACTCTAGAAAGAACACAAAGACAGCTGCAATGTATCAGACAAACATACAGCATTGAGAGACAGAACTGCTAAGCCTTCAATTTCTTTGGAGCCAGCAGTAGATTTAATATTGAAAGCCTTGATTTCCTTCCAGAATTGTTATGAAAGAACTTGTTAAGAATCCAGATGTTTCTCTGGGTAGCAATTCCAGACAACAGCAGGCATCAGGCAATCTGCATATATGACATCTTTCAAAACACAGATGGGTGCAAAAAGCAGTCATAGACAGAAGAGCTCCAACTATTTTACATGCTTCCCTGGCACCTGTCCTTGTATACCTGTCTCTGTAGGGTGCAACTGCTTGCTTTGAACTGTCTTGAAATAGTGGCATATGGAAAAAAATACAATAATTCAGTCACCACAATTAGACCATTCCTGTCTCCTTGGAACTGGAAGGGGACAAAGTGCATTTCACACACTAGGTGACATTTATAGTTGACCCAGTCCTGCATGTGGCTTGACCCAGAAATGCTCAGACAAAAAGGGCTCTCTCCATTTCCTCTACACATAAATAGTCAAGACAGCTTGTAATTACCCTACACATTTCATTGACAAAAATGCTGGTTTGGTTATAATTTTTAAGGCAGGTCTCTACAACTCTGCTTCTCCCTCTTCTCCTCCCCCAAAAAGCAAACTTTAACCTGTTCTGGTTACTGCAGCTTCTCTCTGCATTTTCCCTACTGTCTCGGGTTCAAACAACAGCAGCAGCGGGAGACATAATGCTTAAAATGCTACCTAAATCAGTGTTACCACCAAGAATGTAATCAGCAGAAATAAAGTGAAAATAGCAACATCAGGAAATTTTGATGAAGGAAATCTTCATCAAAGAAGTCAAAAGCTACAAGAGTTCATAGTGAATCACACAAGTGTACCTGATTCAATCTTCTTTTCTGCAACTTCTGCAGCGTTCGGTCTGAAGTGAGCACTTTGGAACTACTGTGAGCTTCAAAGTATTCCTCCACCAGATTACTCTAAAAAGGGACAGCAAGATCAGCCACACTCCTCCTGCTATCAAGTTACCCCTCTTCCTTTGCACACAAAAACAGGTCTGAAGATAGCAAATATGAGACACAGAGCAAGGATGAACACAAAGCCAGAAGATATTTGCAAAAATGACTTCTATAGTAGCATTCTGCCAAAGCTAACCTAGTCAGATGGTATTTTCCTGAAGACAGAAAAGAGATTCTGAGAGAGCAGAACACAGCAATAATTCTAAGGGGGTGTGGGGATCCCTGGTGCTGGAAAGAAATCAGACAATGAAGCTAACACCAAGCCAGAAAGTAATGTGTGCTTCTTTTGGTGCTATAGGAGTCAATTTCTTCTTCATCCTTTCTCAGTACAAGGTCTCCTGCTTCATGGACATCTTAGAACTTCTCCTTCTGGACCTGCTGAGGATACAGACTGGATTATCCCACAGGTTCACATGATGCCCGTCCAACAGGGATTGCTCAGAAGTACAGCAAAAGCCAACCCAGCTGGTTTGATCTGAAATGAGTCTAGCAGTTCTTCTCTATAGTTAGGTGTGGTCACTGACAGCTTATTGTCACTAAACATCCCTTCATGCTTGCTAGCTCAGGGCTGTATTTTCTGCACTCACCATCTTGTCCTCCTTCACTTTTTTGGCTAGGGTGTTTCTGGGAAGAGGCGTAGATGCAGCATTAGTTTTTGGTGGGGTCTTTGGACCTGATAAAACAGTGCTGACTTCTTTCTGGTCTTCCTCATCCTCCTCCTCTGAGCAGGAAGCAGAATATTCACTCTCACTTTCTACATAGGGATCTGGAGCTAAAGCATAAATTTAAGGTTAAAAGCTAGCAATGACTTCTTACACAGAACACATTTTGCACCATCTCGCTCTCTCACATACATTCTTTAGATGTTTTTAAAGCATATGATTTCTAAATATATTTCACAGAAAAGTAAAATCAATGCTTAAGAGGACTGCAAACACACATAGCCATTTCTTTCCCAGTTCTAGGCTCACAAATTATTGTTTAGTAAAGCTTGCTCCTTGACACTAAGAAACATAATCCTACCAAGAAGTGACTAAAAATGGACAATGGAATTCCCTATTTCTATTAGCATCTGTATGTCAGTTTTCCCAAATGCCAATAATGCAAGCTGAGTATCTTCTGGGTCACACTCTGCAAAAAAAGTTTTGTAAAGACCTCTGTTAGCAATGTTGATTGAATAGCACAGACAGAATCTCATTCAGTCTTGGTCTCTCAACACAAAAGAAGAAATAAAACATGAAACACCACACACTAAACTCTCCTCTGCATTCATTCTGAGCACATATAGCCAACCAGTTATTGGAAATACTTTACCATGAATGTCCCAGCCATCATCAAAAAGTTTTATGACTTGGTTCAAGCAATTGCGCCACACTTAAGTGTCAGCATCAATTAGATTACTAAGAGTTCTGTCTCTTTCGATCATGTCACTGAAGTTCAGCAGCTTGGTGCTTCTAACCCTTCCACCCCTTACCTAAGTAGCAATCTGTTGTAGGGAAAAGGTCTACACAGACTTCCTTACGGACATTTCTACACTCTCTGCAGGATGAATCAGATTGCTTCAGTCAGACTGCTACTACAGGCAGAAGGCTACCAGGAGAAATCCTCTCCTCTGAACACAGTGCCTCACTGAGTGTGGAAGCTGGCTGCAAAGGTTGATCTTTACCTGCTAGCCTCTTTCTGAGTCTGTAAGGTGTGGTAGACACAAATTCTTTGTTTTTACTCTGTAACAGCAAAGAAAAAACATGCATTAGAAGAAGAAACATATACCTCCTCAAAACAGCCCTCTGCCAAGCAAAGAGTAGAATCAGGTTACATTTCCAAGCTATTTCAGCCCACAAGAAACTAGGAAAGCAGAGGCAATAAGTATGGAGAGTTCTTGTTTTGCCATTCAGAGCTAGAGGGGGGCAGGATCAGGTTCCAGAAGGGGTTTAATTCTTTCAACTAATGTCCCAAGATTGAGGGCAGAAAACCATGAAATCTCCAACCAAGATGCCAATCTTGGCCCTTCAGGAAGAGTCAAGCTAAAGCAATGACAAACTGGAAACGCTTCAGCTCCTCAGAGCAGTCATCTTCCACATCACACTGTCTACTCAAAGTCATTTGGAAGTCCATTACAAAAACAACTACCAGAATGACAGAAGACCACTCAGAATACTAAGCCCAGAAGAAGTACAGCAAAGGGAACCCAGGCTGCCTGGGCTCATCAAGTTGTAGTGGCATGTCTTTCTTACATATATGTAAAGCACAAGCCTGACTCAGATACCAGATCAAGTCTGCAGTACTTAGAAAACACTTTTGTTAATCCTGTCAAAGTGGATGTGAAATCATTAAGGAGTGAACATGGCATCCCAAAACAGCATCTCTTGCAGGTATATCTCATCCTGGAACTTTATACCAGAAAAGCTGTGCACACATTTCTAGCATGATGCTATACCATTTTAGAAAGCCAACTGTTTCACAGCACTTTCTTTATAATCACCACAACTGGCAGTTCTGGACTGTATCTCTCTGTAGCATCACAAAAGAAAACATCAACTTACATCCCCCCCATTATCACAATTTATTTTTTATAAACCAATGCTAAAGTAAGGAACTGAACAGTACCACAGTTCTTGAATTCCTGTTCTAACAGCACTCCTTACAATTAAGGCTGTTTCTTCCTTTGATGAGAAACTGGAAAGCTATGAGTTTCACTGCATATGAAGGGACTGTCTAACATCCTCATTTGTGTGATGTAAGGAAATAGTCTCACCCATGCTAATTAAGCTGTCAAACACACTATTTGCCTACTGATTCTAAATCCCATAGTCCTGATTAACAGTAGCTATGGTTCTCACTTGAGTTACTCCTGCCCAGTTGGATTAGGAGAGACATCTGTACTGTGGATGAGGCTTTTCAAGCTCCTTTCTTTCCAGAACTGCAGTAATTGGCCAGTTCAAGTTTTAAAAGGGAAAAAAGCAACCAAACAAAAAAAACACAAGCAAGGTAGAGTCATCACTCACCCTCTGCTGCGCTTTGTTTGAACTTGAACGTTCTGCAAAGCAAGAAACAGCATTATTCAGAGTACTGCATATTTTCAACAGAGTCACAAGATGGTCCATTAGAAAAACAGTCATTCACTGTTCAAAGGTACACTGTACCAGAATATCAGCTCACTGGGTGGTTAATCCTATGAGTGAAGCCTCTAGTTCCTCACAGGTAGGCAAGGAGAGAACAGAGACAGTCAATGTTACTACCACAGAAGGCAGCTTTTAATTCTGGTCACAGCTTTGGGAGGCCATCAGCAGGAGGGTACAGGCTGAAAAACGAGCTAATGTCCTCTCCCTGAGCACATCAGACTCCATTTCTGAGGACAAAGTAACATGCTCTTGCCAATGTTGACCTGCCCTGACTTCTCCCACCTGTATTTCTCCCCACAGCATTGGGTGCTTGAATATTATATAATAAAGTGTGAATTTACACATGAACACCCACAGAATCCTACCCATTTGGTGCTCAACACATCAGCCCAGTTCATAACTCTCTCAAGTGCAAGCATTTCTGTTGAACAGAGGAAATCATTGTCACAGCAACAGATGAGAGAGAAGTTCCTGTTTTCTCTACACCAGCAGAGCAGAATAGAAGCTCTGACACCCAGGTGAACCAGCAGCCATGCATACCAAGCAGTTCAGTCTACAATGTTAAGCTGACTAGAATACTCAAGCATGACAGAAGCTGGCACTCAAGCATCCACTCCACCACACAAATAGAAACATAACCCCCATTAACTTAGCTTCAGTTCCCCAAAGCATCACAGGACTTACTGTTGCTTTGAGGGGTTTTGGCTGTCTTCTCAGGGCACTCAGAGTGATCAGGTGCAACACTCTGTCCTGGTGTCTGGGCTAATTCAGAGGCTGTAGGAAATAGGGGAAAGGGAAGAAGTTTCACGTCAGGTACAAAACTCCCAGCTCTGGCTAGTCAGCCATGGAGCCATATACTTGAAATACTCTCTAAGTATTAGTTTCCTAGCTATTTCAGGAAGTGCACCAGATACTTCAAATTTTTTTCTAACCCTAATAGTGAATGTAATCCTTAACAAAGATGTTCAAAGACTGAACTCCTCAGTTAATTTATGTTACAAGTATAGCTGATGGAATGGCAGAGCACGCTTTGCTCCCTGGGAGATGACGTCTTCAAATCAGAGCAATCTGGTCATGCTCACTTAGTCCTTTAAAATTGCTCAGCTGGACATAGTAGAGCATCAGGTATAGCGAACACATCAGTGCCCCAGGAGGTGGGTTCTTGTATTTTATTTACCTCTTTCTACTACTAATCAGCACAAGCTGAAGTTGAATCACTGATCTGACTATGGAAGGCCCTCATATCCTGCTAACAGTCTCTCAAGAAAACCAGCCTTCCACTGTATGACTTGCCTCAGTTTTCAAACTGAGTCATGGCTCCAGGAGGGAGCACCAGTGAAACCTACCCTGCTGCAGGAGGTGTAACAAATGCAGAACTTCCAAAGATACAGCAGAAGCCCAGAGGAGAAATAAAGACGTACAGAAACCAGTTTCTGTACAGTGATACAGAAGGATGACCCCTCTCCCTTGGATCCATCCTTTGTAGGATATATCAGTAGCTGTGACAGCTAAACACTAATGAAGTTCAGATGGTGCTGGGCACACAAAGTCTCTTCAAGTGAGAAGAAACATAGTGGCAGCAGGGCTCCAGCATCTTATTTGAACCAGAACAGCCCACCCTCGCCAGAACTGCTACTTTCTGCTTGTTTCTCCTAAGTCCACAGTTAGCCTAGCAAGTTGTGGCAGGTTGACCCTGGCTGAACGCCAGGTGTCCACCAAAGCTGTTCTATCACTCCCCCCCTCCTCATCTGGACACGGGAGAGAAAATATAACAAGGGGCTCATGAGTCAAGATAAGGACAGGAGAGATCACTCACCAATTACTGTCATGGGCAAAACAGACTCAACTCGGGGAAAATTAACTCAATTTATAACCCATCAAATCAGATTAGGATAATGAGAAATAAAACCAACTCTCAGAACACCTTCCCTCCACCCCTCCCTTCTTCCTGGGCACAACTTCATTCCTGGATTCTCTACCTAGCCCCAGCGGTGCAGGGGGATGGGAATGGGGTTTATGGTCAGTTCATCACACGTTATCTCTGCCGCTTCATCCTCCTCAGGGGCAGGACTCATCACACTCTTCCCCTGCTCCAGCGTGGGGTCCCTCCCGCGGGAGACAGTCCTCCACGAACTTCTCCAATGTGGGTCCTTCCCATGGGCTGCAGTTCTTCATGAACTGCTCCAGCATGAGTCCCTTCCATGGCATGCAGTCCTTCAGGAGCACACTGCTCCAGTGTGGGTCCCCCACAGGGTCACAAGTCCTGCCAGAAAACCTGCTCCGTGGGCTCCTCTCTCCATGGGGCCACAAGTCCTGCCAGCAGCCTGCTCCAGCATGAGCTTCCCACGGGGTCACAGGCTCCTTCAGGCACCCACCTGCTCCAGCGTGGGGTCCTCCACGGGCTGCAGGTGGATAATTGCTCCACTGTGGACTTCCATGGGCTGTGGGGGGACAACCTGCCTCACCATGGTCTTCACCACGAGCTGCAGGGGAATCTCTGCTCCGGCGCCTGGAACATCTCCTCCCCCTCCTTCTTCACTGACCTTGGTGTCTGCAGGGTTGTTTCTCTTACATATTCTCACTCCTCTCTCCAGCTGCCGTTTCTGTCCATCCCAGCAACTTTTTTCCTTCTTAACTATGTTATCACAGAGGCGCTACCACTATCACTGATTGACTCGGCCTTGGCTGGCAGTGCGTCCGTCTTAGAGCCAGCTGGTATTGGCTCTGTCAGACACAGGGGAAGCTTCCAGCAGCTTCTCAAAGAAGCCACCCCTGTAACCCTGCCCTGCTACCAAAAACCTTGCCACACAAAGCCAATATGCAATTACACTCAGACACTTTGAGCAGGAGAAACCCCCTGATATGCAAAGCTAATACTGCCTTTTTTTGACTCTTTGCTACATAATGAGTTATTCTCATATCCTTCTAAGTTACACAAATAAAACCTCACCCATCCTCTGCACTTACATGCAGACTTTCTTGCAGCATTAAGAAACTTCTACTTTTTCTTACGTGTGTGCTTATTATCTGTATTTCTTATCCTCACCATGCCTTTGTTTTGTCCTAGCCTTGTGCTTTTGCTTCTGAGGAAGCCTGATTAAGAGCCAGATAAAAGCTACTGAAATACTGCAAATATATCTTTTGAATAAACAGAAGTGATAAATCACATTAGCAGAGTACTCAAAAAAAGACCATATCCACAGCAAGAATGAAAGAAGAAAGAGGAAAACATACCCAGCTCTGCCATTTTGCTGGAGCGTTTGGGAGTCTGGAATGAGTAAACTTCACCACCACTTACACTTGAGCCATTTCCCACTGGATCTATGAAAAGAAATGTTACTTGTAGCTATTTAAAAAGCACTGGTATGTTTCCAACCCAAGGAAGACGGAATATAGCATTTTACTATCTGGCTCAAAGGACTCTATATTGCAGGTGTTACAAAATAAACATAATCACAAAATCCTAGAATCATTATCCTCTCCTCTACTCATTACCACAAGCACAGCCAGAGCTGGTCAGCCCTCAAAAGCAATTTAATCAATATTGTACAACCTTGACACTGCAAGAATCTCCTGAAGTCACAACTGTGTTAGGTTTTCCCCTCCTAATACCTTGGGCACATATTCCAAGAGCAACAACATAGTTCTTCTCTTCCAGGATCTCTTGAGCTTCATCATCTGAAATATTCTCAAGCTTCTTCACAAATCTCTTCACACTGACTGTCAGCTGAGTCTTGTCCTTCCGTACTTTAATACCTAGAATTGTAATAAAAGCTTCAATCTCCTGCTATTTCATTATTTCTATTGCAGTAGTATGCAGCTGCCCCATTTAGAGACCAAGCTACTGTTGTACAAATCACTAAAAAAATGCAATGCTGAAAAGATGTCCTGCTAAAAGAATAGCTGGTCTGTGCCCAGGTGGTCAGCTGCCCCTACAGACATTAGTCCCTCCTTTACCACAAAAGCTGGCCCCTGCACTCCACGAGGACTACATCGCCATTTCAGCACACACCAGCTTCCACAGTTTGGGAGAAATGACAGTGACTCACACACAGAAGTATCGAATTGCATGCAAAGGGGTTGGTATTTGGCATCCCCTACCTTCCCTAGCAAAGGGAGGCAAGTGGGAAAGACCCGGCAGTACACTCATGGGGGAATTTAGGCCGAGAAACCTCTGGAGACTGTCTGTCTGACCAGCTGCTCAAGGCAGGACCAACAGCGAAGTCAGACCGGGGTGCTCCGTGCCTTGTACAGGCAAGCATTACACCTCTCCTGAGATTCCAAACCTTAAAAGTCGTCAAAACTGCACCAGAAGACTCCCGTATCACCCACCTCGAACCTCATTCGATTTGATTCTGTATGTGTTTAACCACGTCAGGGGTTGGGAAGTTAGCCAGGCTACTTGTGCCCCCTTCCCGAGGCCGCTACGCACACGTTGCCGTGCGGGGAGCTAGCATCCACACCACCTTCAGCTGAGGGCACCTGCCACGGTGCCGCAGCTGCCCCTTTCCCCGTGCCGGGGCGCAGACAGAAACAGATCGCGGAAGAGGCAGCCGGCGGAGAATGACGCCGAAGGCCTCGTCCTGCCTGCAGCCCGGCCGAGGCGCTCAGCGGCCCCGGGCGTTGGAGAAGGGCTCCCTTCCCGGGGGGCGCCGCGGCTGCCCGGAACCCTCTCCCAGCGCCCTGGGAGCAGCGGGCGGCGCCGGGCTGGGCGCTGCCCCGGGCCGGCTGTACCTGCGTCGTCAGTGATGTGCTTCAGGACCTCCTCGTCGGGCACGAACTTCACCTCCAGGGCGCCGCCGCCCTTCCCCTCCGGCTGGCTCATGGCGGGCACCCTGCAAGCACCCCCAGGTCAGTCACGTGGGCCCCGCCCGGCCCCGCCGCCAGGGAGC